GAAATAAAAAATGGCGACTAGTAATAGATTTTCGAGCCCTTAATGAAAAAATGGTGGGGGAAAGCTACCCCATACCTTTGATAAATCATATTTTGGAAAGATTAGGAGGGGCGCAATATTTTTCCGTTTTTGATCTAGCGATGGGTTATCACCAAATAGGGACAGCCGAAGAGGATCAACACAAAACAGCCTTTTCTTGCGGTCGGGGACACTATCAATATAAAAGGATGCCAATGGGAATTAAAAATGCCGCGTCTACATTCCAAAGGCTCATGGATAATGTCCTGTCAGGATTACAAGGAGCAGAACTATTTGTTTACTTAGACGATATCATAGTGTTTTCAAATACACTAGAAGAACACGACAAGACAATATCTCGATTGTTTGAGCGATTAAGAAAAGCAAAATTGGCATTACAACCCGAAAAATGCGAATTTTTACGAAAAGAAGTGGCTTACCTAGGACACATTGTGGGTGCAGAAGGAATCAGAGCAGATCCAAAGAAAATAGAAGCAATTAAAGATTTCCCCACTCCACAAAAACCCAAGGCAGTAAAAGGTTTTCTAGGCATAACAGGTTATTACAGAAGATTTATAAAGGACTACGCAAAAATAGCGAAACCTTTATATAGCTTATTGAAAAAGGATAAAATATTTAAGTGGGACACAGAAGAAAAACAAAGCTTCAAAAAACTTAAGAAAGCTTTGTGTAAAAATCCAATTTTATTGCACCCAGATTTTAAAAAGATATTTAGAGTGACTACCGATGCATCTGAGCACGCTGTCAGTGCAGTACTCACACAAGAAAAGGACGGAATCGACTTGCCCGTAGCCTATTTTTCAAAAACCCTGATTGGAGCAGAAGAAAACTACGATACGACAGAAAAAGAATGTCTAGCAGTAATACAAGCCCTACAACATTTTAGACCCTTTTTATATGGTACCAAATTCATACTATCTTGTGATCACGAGCCTTTAAAAATAATTAACAATGCGATTAAACCAACTACAAGAATGGCAAAATGGTTGTTAAGATTACAAGATTATCAATACGATTTTGTGTGCAAGCCTGGTAAAATAAACCGTTGGTTGTCAGCCTTATCGGAAAATCCAGTAGGAAAAGCAGAAAGCAGTGTAGAAGAAGATGAAACTACCGACACGGATTCTAGCGAATTACAATCCTCGGAAAGTACGGAAGAGGACGAAGAAATGTCAAGAAAAACAGAAATTAAAGCATTCCCCATAAGTAGTGCTGCAGGAAAATATAATAAAAAGGCAGACGAAAAACTAGATAAATTAATTGCTGATAACAAAAAGAAAAAGGGAAACGTAGGAACTTCTAAAAATCAATCAAATCTTCCTTTTAGAAGCAGGTCAAAATCAGATTCTACTATAAAGGAACCAAAGAAAGTAGACCCTTACGAGAAACCGAAAAGAGGGAGACCACCGGGAAAAACAAAACAAAAAATAATAGAAATAGATACAGATGACCGTCCCATTGCAAAAAGACTCAGGAGTCAAAATTCAAAACCCGTAGAAACAAATAATCAAACGGAAAATGTTGATAAAGTAGAACTTGATAACATAGACGAAAATTCAACTTCAGAGAATGAAATAACTGAGGACCCAGAACCAACCCCCATATTAAGAAAACAGTACAGTGTGTTACCTTCATTAATAGATAAACCTTCAACATCAAAAGATTACTCTTCGGAAAGTGAAGAAGAAGAAAGTAGAGACGAAAATATAAAAGAAGTTAAAGAAAATGAGATAGTCATACAAGTAGATCCCCCCGTGGACAGCTCTGAAAGTGAAGAGGAAAATTTTCAGGAAGCTGAGGAAACAGTAACAAATAAAAATTCAGACGAAAACCAAGAAAATAGTGAATCTGAAGAAATAGAAGAAGAAACTTTACAATCGGATGGAGTAAATCAAGACACATTAAAAGGCGTTCTGGATTCAATAAGAAGATTCGATAAATCGTTAGTGGACCACGAATCATATTTTTGGGACAACGAGATGTTTGAAAATGAAGCAGAAGAAGAAGCACAAGAAGTGTCAAAAACAGATGATGAACTCCCGGAGGAAACAAGGGACATGGATGACATCATAGAAGAATTAAGGGATATAGCTACAAAACTACCAAAACAGGACAGCTATGTAGAGAAAACTCAGGAAAAACCATTTACAGACAAAACAAAAAGAAAATCTGTAACTTTTGAAACCCCTGTACGTTTAGAATTACCTAAAGCTCGATCAACCCCCTATTTAAAGGAAACTATTTTAGAGGAAACGGAATTAAGAGAAGAAGTTGAAAATAGAAAGAAACATGTTTTTCCAAGAAAATTAGTAGACACAAATATGGACGAGAAAGAAAAAGAAACACAACCTCAGCTAGAACTCGGTCTAGGAATCAGTATGCCGTACATCGAAAGTAATTACCCAAAAATAGAGAATTTTACAGAATCTCCAACAGAAAATGCCCTAAACAAGTTAGAGGTACTACAGTACGACCGAGAACCAATTACCGTTGTTAAGGACAACTATGTGCATTTCATGGCATCAGATTTGGAACCGAACGACTATACAGCCAAATTAATGATCGCTATAGGAGCAATAGACTTGTTAGAAATGAAATCGAAAAAACCAAAAAAAGGACAAATATTAGTCACTGAATTTGGGAAACACAAAGTCTACACGGTAATAATTTCCAAAAATTATGACGACACTGTAAGTAAAAGTAAATTGGTGAACACATTGGCCAACTTAAAAAACACCCTTCAAAAAGACAATATAAAACAAATACGCGTACCTAGACACGTAGAAATGTTAGAAGAATCAGATTACAATTGGATAGAACAACTAGCAAAAGTTTTTCTAAAAGCAGATATTAAGATAACCGTATGTCACGGAAAAACGATGATCCCTCCAGAGGAAGTAAGAACAAAAATAATCGCGGAATACCACGATAGTCTGATAGCAGGACACAAAGGAGTCAATAAAACATATCGAAGAATCCGAGAAAAATTCACATGGCCAGGTTTAAGACAAGAAATTACAGAATATATAAGAAAATGCAGAAGTTGTGCAGAGAAAAAAATTGTTAGAACAAAAAATAAAGAAACTATGGTCATAACGGATACACCATTGGATGCATGGGATAAAGTGTCCCTAGATACAGTAGGAAAACTCCCTACCACCGCTAATGGAAACTGTCACATCTTGACGATGCAAGATCAACTTAGCAAATATTGCATTTTTGTAGCAATACCGAACATAAATTCTACGACAATAGCAAATGCAATAGCCACTAATCTAATTTCAGTATATGGAGCACCCAAATGTCTTTTAACAGATCAAGGAAGGTCATTCACAAGTAATCTGTTAAGAAGATTGGCGAAATTATTTAAAGTAGCCCAAGTAACTACAACAGCGTATAGACCCCAAACAAACGGAGCGTTGGAACGCAGTCACGCAGTATTAGCAGAATTCATTAGACACTACGCAAAAGCCTTCGACGATTGGGACAGATTATTGCCCTACGCTATGTTTGCCTATAACACTTCAGTCCACGAAGCGACTAAGTTCACCCCCCACGAAGTAGTTTTTGGGAAAACCGCACGCACCCCCTCTATATTCCCAACAGAAGAAATAATGGAAACGTACGAGTCCTATTTGAGAGAATTAGTAACACGACTAATTGAAATTAGAAGAATGGTAGCCAAAAATTTAATTCAGTCAAAAGAAAAGATCAGGAAAAAATTAAGCAACAAAACAAAACCCTTGGACGTGAAAATAGGAGACTTAGTAGACGTTAAAGAAGAAGTAAGAGCTGGAAAATTCTCCCCATATTACCACGGACCATATGAAGTAGTAGGGATCACAGAAAAAAACAATTTGATACTAAGCGACGCAGAAAAGAAGAGGTTCCGAAAACACAAGGATCCCCTCACAGCACCGGGATATTCAGGATATCCCAGAGACGTCCTGGGGATATCGATTTGTTTTCGGAAGTTTGGATATCCCTGGATTATCCTCTGGATATCCATGGACGTCCCTAGGATATCCCAGAGATATCCAAACTTCCGAAAACAAATCGATATCCCCAGGACGTCTCTGGGATATCCTGAATATCCCGGTGCTGTGAGGGTCAGGTCAAGAAAGCATATTCCTGACAGAATGATAAAAAGGGATTGAGAATAGATAAAGACGGCTATGTACATGTGTATACTGATGGAGCTTGTAAGGCAAATGGTAAACCTAATGCACAAGCTGGAATAGGAATCTGGTTTAACCAAGAACACCCCTTAAATATCAGCGACAAAGCATGTAATAGGCAGACTAATAATAGCGCAGAAATGGAAGCCATCATAAAGGCCATAGAAATTCTGAAAAATTTAAATTATAAGAAAATTAGGATACACACCGACTCTAAATTTGTAATATACGGAATAAAAGAGTGGCTACCTAAATGGGAAAATAACGGCTGGAAAACAAGCCGAAAGCGAGAAGTCATAAGTAAAAAGGACTTTGTAAAGATGAAAAGTAGTTTAAATAACCTAGAAGTAGAATTAATATACGAACCAGGACATACTGGAATAATAGGAAACGAAGAAGCAGATAGATTAGCTAAACTAGCAATAGAAAACTAACCAACAAATAGAAATAGAAAACTAAACATATAATTCAATTTTGGTTACAGAAAAAAAAATGAAGAACTATTTCGGGATATGCATTATAATACTAGGAATAAGCGGGCTCACAAAAACACAAGACGTAAACCCTTTAATGACCATAACGCCTCTAAATAAGAACACAGGACTCTTTTACGAACTTATGCCAAACCTACAACGCATATCAGGAACATGGAGGACGGTAATACTAGTAGACACAGACACTTTCAAAACACATTTACCTAATTTGGAAACAGAATATAGAAAAATAGAAACAGTTTGCCAAAATGTAATGAAATTAAGTTGTGAAGATTTTTTAGAATACAAGATGTTAAATAAAGAAATTACAGTAGCCAAGTTACTACGAGAACAATTATTAAATGTCATAAAAGAATTGCAACAGCAAACACCAACAAAACAAACACTTAAATTTCAAAAAAGGAAGAAAAGAAACACTCCATTAATAGGGTTCATAGGAAAAATCGCAGGACCAACCATAGGAATATTAACGTACGATGATGGGGAAAGATACGAACAACTTTTCACAGAATTAAACGAGGCTCAGAAGAACATATCACATTTAGTAGGAGAACAAACTCACATAGTAAGAGCAGACTTACAAAATTTATATGATTTAGCACAACGACAACATAACAGTTCCGAAGAAGAAAGAAAAAGATTATATAAACTCGAAGAAGACATATTTGCCGTAGAATCAAAATTAACTACTACAGATTTCATGTTACAATTACAAAAAACATCAAAACAATGGAACGAACAAATAGAAACTTATAAACATGGATTAGAAGAAACCTTAAACGTCATATTCAAAGCCATAGAAGGAAAATTACATCCAAAATTATTAAACAACGAGCAGATAAAAACAATAGCAACTGAAGCACATAAATTCTTAGAAAACCAGGAATACCCTATGCACATAGACAACCTAAATGTCGCGACAATTGCCGAAATATCAAAAATAGGATTACAAGTAAAAGGAGAAAATTTGATGATAACACTAGATATTCCCCTTTTAGAAAAAGAAAAATATTTACTTTACAAAATGCACGAGCTACCAGTACTACAAACTATAGGAACAAAAGGAAACAGAGCGTACATTACGCCCCACTCCAAATACATAGCCACTAGCATAGAGGGCAGACATTATTTTTATTTAGAAGAAGAACAGCTAAGGACTTGCCAAATAGTGGAAGGAAGATACGTTTGTTACCTAACACAAGGAATTTACGACATTATTTTAGCACCAAGTTGTGAATCAGAATTACTAAGAGAACCTAATAATAACACCTTAAGAAGTTGTGATATCCGGATCACAAAGAATCAACAACCACTATGGGAACCTCTAATCACAACAGGGAATTGGTTATATTCACTAACGAAAGAAGAAACTGCATATTTGATCTGTCCCAAAACAAAAGTCAACACTTTCCAACTAAAAGGAATAGGAATAGTTAATTTATCGCCAAAATGTACCTTAAAAACTGACACAATAAAATTACCTACATTACAGATAATTAACAACCCTCAAGAATATATTTATGCACCTAAAATAGAATTAAAACTAGAAGAAATTTCACCGATACTAAAAACAGCAAACCCTCAAAAGGAGGTAACAACTTCAAACGAAATACGACCAATTTGGAGAAAAATGGAAACCGACGAGAAATTACAAGAAATAGAAAAAGGTCTCGAAATCCAAAGTTTACACACACTCGGGAAAAAGGAACAATACCAATATACAAATTCAATAATAGGAACTTTAACAACAATAATAATAATAATCGTAATCTATTTAATTATAAAACAATGTATAAAAAACCATATAAAGATTCTATGCTGCCTAAGAAGAAAGAAAAAAGACAACGAGACAGAAACGCAACAGATGTACACCATACCTTCTAGCCCTACACAACAAAGACACAACAACCCAAATACTAGCAATCTTATAAACCAAAAAACACAACCAACCACCTTAACCATCAAACAAGAAATTCTGCAACGAAGCGAACAACAAGAAGAAAACAAACCTACCACCAGTAACAAAATACGAAAAGAAAGAAAAATACAAGAAAACCCTATTTCTAAATTGCGATATATAGAAGCACCAGAAATTAAATACGTGGACATACCCTAAACAAAAAAGACAAGACCAACTAAAAAATAAAAAAATGAAGAAAAGAGGATAATGTATATTATATTCTATATATTATACCCTATATTTAATCGGTTATGTATTAAAAATTATGAATAATAATTTAATTAATTAACAATAAAATTAAAGGTAAAATATTACACAAGAAAACTTGCAACTTTTAAAGTTTGGTAGTGGATCCCCTCCTTCCTACTTATTGTTCAAGTAGTGAGGTGAGAATCTCTACTGTTTGGAAATAGTGGATTTTAAGGTTTTGGAATTGTTGTGTAGATGTTAATAAAGTTAAACAAATTTACAAAATAATGAGAATATATTATAACTTCTAAACCCTAATACAATTATCTAAATTTCCCTTATTTACTTTATTTTAAAGATTACAATCTTTATCTTCTTTCAAGTATGTGATTCTACACAATATCTATTTTCTGATGCGTAATGTGTTTATGTGCATATATTGTATCTTAGTGTGTAAAACAACTTAGCTCACCTTTGTCATTTATATATTTCTTTTTAGTTTTATTTCCTTTAATTAATATCCTTTGTTATTTAACGCGCTTGCACTTTATTTAATATTTCACTTTTCATTTCTTACTTTTGTCACTTTATTTCATAACCATTTATTTATTCACTTATTTTATTACTTCATTTTTATCTTGTGGTCTATTATTGAGACCTTCAATTTAATTAAACAAACAAGGGCTTCGTACAATAACTTTATCTGGCAGTATAGCCCTAACTCTCCGTCGTGGTCATGCCGAGACACACGGGCAAATGCCCAGATTTTCCTGTGTCAATCGATTTTATTAATCGACATTACAGTGGTGAAATCATACTTTAGTTTATTGCACCTGCTCGTTGCCAGGCGCTTTTCTGCAAGCTTGCAGTTTTAGGCAGTGGTGTGATCATGGTTCATTAACCTGAACACACCACTCCTTAAGTTTCACAATACATTGGTATCTGAAGCCTCATTCTTTTAATTAAAGTTAAATTCCTAATCTTTTTCAATGTAAATTTATAGAAATGTGAAATATAATTAACTGCAATAATTGAGAGATATTATATTTTATTAATATTTAAACTCTTTTTAAACGAGATTATAACGAAAAGATGAACTAAGTATGTTTCGTTATTGTGTTTAACATGGATATTCGTATTTGTGTTAATATTTTCTTATAAACATTATATTTATATTTTGTTATCACGAAGGGATATTTAGTGACGAAGTCGGTTCGTCACAAATGCCCCCCTTTTAATAGGCTGACGTCCCTTGTCAGCTGCGGGAAAGCGTTATCAAAGATCCTCTTTTAAAATTTTTAGATATAACTCGTTTGAGTTTTACAAAAATCGTATCCTGGTTATCTTTCTGTACAAAAATTTTAGCTTATTTTATTTTATTTTAGTTAGAGTCGAATTTGAAAAATTAAATGAATTAATTTAATAATATCAAATTTTTAAAGAAACTTTAACTAAACGTGTCCTTCGGACAAAATAATTTGTAAAGGGTAGTGGATTCTTCCCTCTACTTGGTTATTGGTTCAACCAAGGGGTGAGAATCCTATCCCTTGAATTTGGAGAAGATAGGATAGTTTTAGGAATAATTAAATTATTATCAAAATTAAGATTAAACAATATAAGATATATATATTTTCCCAATGAGTCCCTAATACAAATAAAACTAATCTTTGCGTGTGTAAAAAGTACGTGTGAATCTGTACGTGTGAATGAGATAATCGTGTGTGTCGTAAAATGTAAGATGTTTTTACTCACTACTTGGTATTCTGTACTTCGAAATTCGAATCCAATGACGAATCTTGTTTTTATCCTCTTTACTATGAACTTTAATATTCCTTAGATAATGCACAATGCTGAGACTTCAATTCTTTTACTCTTTAATATAATTTATGATTTCTTTAAATTTATTTTCACTTCTTTTATTTTAATATTTCTTTTCAATTCCCTATATTTAATTTTTATTACGTAAATTCTCTCTATTTATTTTCTTTCACTATATTTCAATATTTTTTTTATATTTCTTTGATTCCTTTAATTACACACTTTAATTATTTATATTCAAACATATATATTTTCAATTCAATCTTCTTTAATTTTTATTTATTTATATTATTCCCAATTATATTCACTTTCTTTAAACAAACTTTTTATTCAACCGTTAGACTTTCGATACGATTAACACGGCTAAATGCCGGACTTAGAACTTCAGGCTACAATGGCCTGGACTAAAACTGCGGGCCTAAACTGCCCGGGCTAACTGCCGGCTACAACGGCCTAGCTTAAACTGCCCAGATTTCCCAGTGTCAATCAATTTTATTGAAAGACGATTTAGTGGGGAAATCGTATGTTAAGTTCATTGTACTCGACTGTTGTCAAGTCAATTTCTGCAACCTTGCAGATTTAAGCAGTGGTGTGATCCGAGTTCAGTGACTTGGATGCACCACTCCTTATATTGAGCAATTTAACTTTGATATTTTCTAACTAATTTTCAAAAGGGTCAATAAACTGTTTGTCCAAGAAAAGGAATTTATTAAGAAATACCGTGTTTTATTCTTAGGCTTTTCATTTCAAATTGTGAAACTTAAAGGAATGTTAAATCTATTGAAATATATATTATTTATATAAAATTAGATCTTTTTCCAATTAGAATATTCTGGATTAAGATATTCAAAGAGAAGAATGTCCCTTTTGTGAAATTTGTTGTTGTTTTTGTGTAAATGTTTTGTGGTGTTTAACAAAATCTCATGTTGTGTGTGATTGTTGTATGTAATTTTAGTTTTAAATATAATTAAAAAAGTTATTAACAATATAAAAAGTTACGGAGTTCGGCCGTAACAAATGCCCCCCTTTTATTAGGCTGACGTCCCTTGTCAGCTGCTATGAATGCGTTATCGAAGATCCTCTTTTAAAATTTGTAGATATAACTCGTTTGAGTTTTACAAAAATCGTATCCTGGTTATCTTGCTTTACAAAAGTTTATGTTGGAGAGTAATTATGTTAATCTTTCTTAAAAACTAGCCTTACAAATTTTAATATTTTTTCATTTATAGAACATGTTCAAAATGAAATGCGATTCAACATGCCGTATGCCTAAGTTCTTTGATTAAAGTGTTCTTTATAATTTTTTTTATCGTTGATAAAGGTATTTTTAGTTCAGTTATATAATGTTAAAAGAATATTGTCGAATTTGACTTAAAGCGCTGACAACGTCTTCCCCTAGTATCATATGAATTAACGTAACGATGTCTACCTAAGTTGTATTGTATGTGATAGTCATAATGAAAGAAAATTTTTTTTAATTTTCGAAAAGAGAAGAAAAAAAATTGTGACGACAATTCTGTTGTCATGCCCCCCTTTTATTAGGCTGACGTCCCTTGGCAGCCATTTCTAAATGCTTATGTTTTTTCTTTTCTTTCCAATTTTTCTAAATCTTTTCGCGTTGTAAAGATTTGTTATAAATAGAGGTAAATTATTGTTGTGAGTTTTAGTTTAGTTTCAAGTTTAGTTTACAATAGAAGCAAAAACAAAACTGGTTTTCGATGGTTTACAAATTATTTTTGTATTTATTATGATGTTTTTTTTTAAGTATTTTAAGGTCTAGAGTGGTAAAAAACTGCTTTATTATATTTTTTTCCTTAAACTTGTCTTTTTAACTATAATATAACCAATGTAGGCATTTGTTTATTTCAAGATATGTAATTTTTCTAAATTTTCATTTCACTTTTTATTAATTTAGAGTGACAACGTTTATTATTTTAAGTATTTTTTTATTGATCCTTATTTTTAAATGTATATTGTAAATTACAAAACCTATAGCTAATTTTAGTATACAATTTTTTATGGTGCTATTAATTTCAAACGAAGAATACATTAAATATTTTTACTTTTAATGATTTGAAAAAACATAATTTCATAGTATCAAAATTTGAATTTATCATAACAAATTGTTCTTGCTAGAAATTTATAATTATAAATTTTTTTTAACGAAGATTGATAAATTTATTTATTATTTTAATTTTTCTTAATGCTGATATTAAATAATTTTGCATAGGTTGCAGAATATTTTTATTACACAATAATAAGATAAAAATTTTATTTTCGCAAAAAAAATACTTTCATAGTTTGGAATATTGTAAATTTTCATAGTTTTCTTGAAAAAATTCGATTTAAAATATTTTATTTTGAATTGTAATAACATGTTTTTTTTATCTTTATATAATTTAATTATTTTAATATGTGGTTAACAAAAATAGATTTTTTTTAAAATGTCTTTTTAACTTTAAAATTTTTGTGAATGTTTTGTAGTTCTTTTAAAAGATGTGCAACATTTAAGAAAAAAAATGTTAAATTGTATTAATTTAACTCTGTTTCCTTATTACATTTTTGTGCAGTATCAAATAGAAATTGGTAAACAATATTGAGAAATTATAGAAAAACGGAACATTCTGATTTTTTTTAATTTCATTACTAATAGTAATTCTGGTCAAATAGTTTTGATAAAGCAAAACTTTTCAAATTATTTATTATGCTTATCCGTCTTAAAATTTTATTTAGAGCATTTAAATATAGTGCTTTGTATTGAAAATTTTCATTCTTTAAAAATTTTTTATATAAATTCATGTTAGAATTAGTGTAAATTGAATAAGTTTCTTTTTTTTAGACGAAGAAAATGTAAAGCATAACAAAAAAATGCTTACAAAAAATGCTATTTATCATACTTTAACTTTTTTTTTTTTAA